GGAGTTGCTCATCTCCAGTCTCCACATTTTATGCATGAAATCAACAACAGGCAGCAGAATCATTAATAAACGATCTTTCTTCTTTCATTGCGTAGGTCAAATTCTTCATTAGTTCAATAAAACTTCTAAGCTTCTGGTATTATGCCAAGAGTAAACATCTCATTTTGTCAAAATACAATTGGTCATAGATAATTCAAAACTTTAGAACCTGGTTGCCAGGAAAATATTGATAATGAATAAAACCACATTGTTTCACCCTTTCTTATTGAAGGAAAAAAAACCACCAACCTCTCAGTAAAGCTTCCACAGTTCTCTCAACAAGTTAAAGTTCCATTAAAAATTTATCCACTTATAAGCCTTATTAAAACAATAATTTTCAATTTACACCCTTGCTCTGCTATCACCATCTCATAGCTGTACCAATGCAACTATAAACCAAAATGCAACTTCCCATGTCTTTTTACTTTTCAGCTGTCCAATTCATAGTTGCATAAGCATAACCAAGAGGTGAAGGATAAGCATCCAGCAAAAGGCATAAACCTTTAAGTCAGCCACTGCAAAACAAATCAATACAAAACCCATAGGGACCTACTTAGCAAATCTTACTCTGTGAGCCATCAATGAAAAAAATTGCAGCAGATGCTACACAAACTGAAGATGCTCATCGTCCTGGCTTTTCAGAAGAACAGGAAGAAGTCCAAACAGTAACTCTGGGTTAGACAGCAGCACCAACATCCTTTATTTCAAGCACTGTTTTTAATTGCCATTCCTCTGCACAAAAGGATCACACTGATAACTTAAATCCCTTCTGACATAAATCTATGACATACACAGCCACTGTGAGGTGCAACTTTAAAACATCCAGACAAAACTGGCTTGCTGTTCATTACGAACATCAAGCTAGACTTCTTTGCTCCTAAGTTTCTAAATTGAGATGTGGCTTGATAATCACAAAAATATCTGAAACAAAGTATTTGTTTCAGGAACAGTTCCTAAACCAGCCTTCCCATGATCACAAGCTCTGTAAGATGCAGAGAGGCAAAAGCAACTTCACTAAAATGACATGAAGTACTAATGTATGCAAGCAAAAGGCCCTGTAGCAGGCCCAATTTTCCAGCGTAAGCCTCAGCACTATGAATTAATAGGATAATGTGTATCTTATAGAAGCTTCTTCTGTTCTTCCACTTATTTTCAAATGTCTCTCTTCAGCATTTAGGATCACTCCTTTCTCTTCACCTCTTGCCCATTCACTCAGCAAACAAAGATACTGCTTCCTAGTAAAAAGCTTTAATTGCAGTATGAACTGAACTACTAGATTTTTAAACTTGTACTTTAAGTAAGGTGGCTTGATTCCAGCTTTTAACAACTGAAGAAAGAGACCAACTCATGTAACAAGCGATCTGGACAAGACACGGAAAGAAAACACGTCACTCAGCTTGCAACAAGCTGCGCACAGGAATGATGAAAAACAGGCAACATGCAACAGAAATCGTACAATAGCTTACTTTTTTTCCTTTGCTTTGCGTGGTCTGACAAGAAATTTTGTGATATGCGGTGACTGGATTCAGAAACCCTTAAGAAAAATCTGTATGTGTTCACATCAAGAAGCATACGCACATTAAAAGAGCAAATTTCAGCTCACAGACACAGACAGAATCCGTTATCTTGCAAAAACATTCAGAGAGCTATTCATTGAAAATGCCACCTTTTCCAGCATGTCAACAGAGAAGTCATTTTCAGCTAGCAAAAATGCTTTCCCCTGAAATGCCGTAACATTCCCATTCTCATCAGAAAAGCAAGGTAATGAATACAAATATTTTAAGGGCTCATAACATGGTCTAAAGAGAGCTCTCACATCAATAACCCTGTATGTTAGGAGCAGGACTTGGCTTGCAAATAAATGTCTGGCAACAAAACTATTTCAGCTGGAACAGGTTTATATCACAAAACTGTTTATATCAGCATAGTTTCTTTCATACACATAAGTAGCCATAAAATAACATTACAATACAATAATTACATGCTTATATTTTCATAATGACAGATAGCTTTATTTTTAATAATGTAATAGTACATTTAAAGGAGTTAGTAGATAACCCCTGGATACTTATGATAGAGCATATTAGGCAGATTCTGCAAGACATTCCAAGGAAGATACTCATCAGGGTACGACAGAGACCTGCTTGGTAATTATCTTTACAATTCATGATGGGACTGGGCCCGAGGGTAAAGACAACAAATACCAACTCCTTCATTCAGCTACTTGGATTAATGTGAAGCATAAGCAGAAATATAAAGTATCCAGGTCAAATCATTTGCGTTCAACATAACAGTTTCACCAGGGTGTTTGGTGAACAAAGCAGGAATTTTGGCATGTATTTGTACAATTGTTCAGTTGGCATTGTGTTCGGGCAGAGTAAGGAGCCTGGTCTAAAACTTGTGTGAACATACTAATAACCTGAGTAAGCTCCAAACTGGGGTACAGTTAAACTGATCTCCTGTTTCAGACAAACAGAACTTACCAGCGTAGGAATCAGTGCATTTTTACTGGCAGCCAATGAATGAATTTAAACCCTGTCATGCCAGACTAAGTCCATGCCTGAAAACAGTACAAGCATATTCAGCTAAACTGAGTAAGTTTTTAATGCCTGGACTCATCTGAGTTCTGAAAGCAAAGGCAATAAAGCGGCAGACAAAATTGTCAGTGGGACAACTTAATATTAACCAAGTCTCAGTACCACAATGTACTGTTTATATCCATAATACATCTGATGCTGAGAAAGTTACTCAAAACATGGAGCAAGTCAGTGGTAGAACCCGAAATTAAAGAGTCAACAATTTTGGTGACCCATACACAAAAATACAGCCCACAGCAGCTATATCAAGTAGCATTTCCTAACTCATTTGAAGCACCTGCCTAAAAGGTTATCAACTTACAGTTAATGACAGAAAGGACTGCAATACTTCCTCCTTACTGCCACAGACCCCTGAATGTATCACTGGCTCATAAAAATAACATGAGGTAGTGAACAAGGAGAAATGAAGTGAAAGCTCCAGGAATTCTTATTCTTGATCCTGAAAACTGTAGCAAACACACTGACCATGTGACAAGAGTACCCCTCTGCCAGATCTACACAAGCAGACACACTAAATGCCTTCAGACAACCATCGAGAGTATCCAAGCCATTAATGAAAATATTCAGAGCAAAAGGAAATGACCTTATGTTGGTTATGAGACAAGGGGGGGGCACGAAATTACAAAATGGTATATAGAAATCTTTAGAAGTAGCTTTAAATAGTGTTAAGTTTGATGGCTTTGTAACAGTAGCAATGGAAAATTACTGAGGTGCAGGGTACATAGAGAAAAATATGTGAAGAGAGTGCAGCTAGAGAACATACTGAGAATTCTCACAAGATAAATCGTTATAGTTGACATAGCTTTAAGAAAAAACAGCCTAGAAAAACAGGACACAGGGATAAGGGGTATCTGGGAACTGCAGGTGTCCAGGATGGGCTACAGTTGAACTAACAGATAAGTAGGAGGATGGGAGGATTATTATGTCTCTGGTGCTAACGAACCAATTAAACTGGTATGAGCATCTACTGCGCGTGCTTCAAAGGCTGCCAGAAGTGATGAAGATCGTTGGAAGAAGTAAACGACCCTCAGAGACCACCACCACAAATCTGTACGCATGCGGGGAACTCTCTGGAAAATGATGTAATCCATATGTAGCCTCATGAATATGTATGTATGCCCAGGGGCTATAAAAGGACAGCTTGTATAGCAGTACGGAGACACACGTTAGGAGGATTTATCCCCCGTGTCTCCCGGCGCCGCAATAAAGAATACCTGCTTGTCAGCTTGAAAACTTTGTTGGCAAGTTTGTTCCTGGAGTTTTCTCCGAATCAGTTAAAACAGACGAATGGATTGGACTCATTTTTTTAATAACAGATTTACAAGCCATGACAGCATAACAAGGGATAACTGACAAGGTTACCTCTCAGCTGGTCACGCTACATTTTATGCGTAAACAAGTGTTTATGCATATAAAAAACTGCTTTTACAATACGAGCTTGGGAAGAAAACATGAGTTTACACACTCAGTTTGAAGCCTTAAAGTAGCAGCTGAAGTGGCCTACACTGTACATAAGATGGCAATGATAATACCAGAGCTATGTCTGAAGAAAATAATGGCTGTAGACATGCTCAGATACTACCAATAATTTTGCATTAATTCAAATGATTCTTTGAGGAACAGACATAATGCTAAACAAGCATGGGAAAGGTTGGCAGTGCCATGGCACCATCAGACCAAAGCTAGTTTATCGATCTTGTTATGAGATGAATAGATGTCTTCCCACTCCAATTAAGACAACCAAGAAAGACAGTTCCTAAAAAGTAGGAAAGAACTGGATCAATAGAATAGAAATACTGTAACAAAAGATGCCTGGCTCTTCTGCAGAAGATCATGACTGATATGCTCTTCTCTCTTCATGAAAGTACAATATGGGATTAGACAAATGCTCACAAATTAAGCTACCAATAAAAACAGAGAGGAAAGCACATTGGCCATAAGAACAAACCAAAGTCACATTTACTTAGGTTACACATTTCAGTCTTCTCATGGTTTTTAGATCATTACCACATGATGGCCTACATTATATAAAAGACGCATAAAAGCATATGCTACTTAAATATTTAGAGAAAATTATTAAATGATGTTTTGCATCACAAATAACATGCTTTCAGAAAGCAGCAAGTAGACAAAGTCTTGTCAAGCTGCAACTAAAACAACTTCCAAGTTTTCTAACATGATAGCAAGATAATGTCATACCATGTGTGCCAGATGATTCCTATAGTAAAATCTCTGTACAGTACAGTAGTACACACACACATACACACACACAAGAAAGCGTAATCTGAACAAGAATGACAAGAAGGTATAAGAAAAAAGCAAATCCATTCAGGTAAACAAGCACTTTCCTTAAAATAGATTTACCTGAGACTCCAATTCTGCTAATTTACGCTTCCTGGCATGAAGAGCTTTACTTGGAAAAGCCCAGAAATAATTGGAAGTTCCAATTCTATCAGTGTCCACCATGCCATCATCAACTAAGCTCTGCAGAATCTCTTTCACTGACATCGAGGCTAATAAAAGCAAAAATATTAAATTAGAAACGCATAGCATCTAAACTACAGAAAATTATGCAAACCATAAATTTACAATAATCTGTATGAACATTTTTCTATAGCGTCAGTTAGCTGGAAGATTTCAAGAGAACACCATGCCTGATGCTTCACTTGAAGGGATAAATCTCGGATCAGCAGTTTATACATCAAAGCTGCTACTCAGTACAGTCTGCTACCAGATGTTTGTAAAACACCACTCATGAGTATCATAAGACATACATGCATATTACAGCACAAACCATAACAAACTCATGAGAGGGTACTTGAGAAGTTATCTTGCAATCTTAATTCTAACATGGATTAATTTACAATTTCTTGATTAGGAGTGTAATTACATTTCACTTTGTAATGCTTATCAAAGCATTTAACAGCAGCAGAGGCACCAAAGCCATCTGTTTATAAACTCAGGAGAGGCAGATATTACTTTTGATTGTAGTCAGCTCCAATACAAAAAGTGAACTGCAGTCAAAGGATCCAAAACATTTCTGAATGTAATTATTCATTTTCTAGCAAATGTGTGGTATAACTCACCAGTTTAAAAATTGTGTCTATTCCAAGTAATTGCTATTATATTCAAGCACTGCAGATATAAAGACTTTTGAGTTACTTTATGGTTTTCAGTGTCTGACTTTCTAGTCTAAAGGGGATCCCAGATCAGAAACATCCAATCTTTTGGAAGCTACAGGCTGGATGCCAGCACGGGGGCATTTCCACAGCCCAGACATTGTTCTTTCCAGAGTAACTGGGGCCTAGGGTGCATGGCTAAACGCCTTTATATGCAGAAGCAGGATGAATGTGGGCTATTAAAATGTGTTGATGGTTTTAGAAACTCTACATTCCAGATTTTTTAATATGACATTCCATTGCTTGTATTAACTGTTTTGCATCCTCTTCCTGCCAATTACGATTAAATATATGCATTGACAAACCAATCAAGACCACAACACATCTTTTCAGAAGCCTGTGAGCGTCCCTGTTAGCTGAAGACATAACTGAAAAACACTGCTTTGCAATATTCACATATGCCTGCAGTTCTTCCAAGAAGCTCATTTACTCTTGCAGTGCCATAAAGACATGCTAGTCAAGGACAACCACAGAAACGTCACGCCTTGCCACCCTTTTGTTAATGAGCACAAAAGGAATTGGAATGAGGAACATATAAAACAATTCAACAGCATAAGATAAATCCTCCTGGACCTAATCCTAAACCAATCCATCTCATCAGGAAGACTTTCACTGAAAAGACAACCTCTTTCCATTTACAGCTGTCCAGCCATTTTTTGGGGGAGGGGGTAGAAAAGCTTATACGGACTGTGTAAACCTGGACTAGCATTTTAAAATACTTGTGACATTACAGACAGACATTTAAATCCTCTGCTCACTACCTGAGTGCGCATATTTCATACACTAAAAGTCACTGCAAGTCAGGCATCTCAGAGCCTAGGAAAAATCCCATCTCATTTAACATCAGTAAACCAAGATAGGAGTACGCTGTTCATGTCACTCTCAAACCTACAGCCCTGCCATTGACAGGTCTCCCTTTCTAGCTATTTTTCCCCACCATTACAATCACAAACCTGAAATTGTAGCCAAGAAAGTTTATACTGTATGACCTGTATGACTCATGAGAATTAAGTTTTGTAACACTTACTAATCCCTTTTTCTTTTGGAGCAATCTTCTCTATATCCTTCAACTGGAACACATCTTTCTGTGCAAAACATAAAAGACACTTTAGCTCCAAATGACAGCATCATCTAAGTCTGGGGGGGTTTTTTTACACTGAATCAATGCAAAAAAAAAAAAAAAAAGTAGGAAATACATTGCATATTTATGTTTTGCTAGGGAAATAAGCTGCACATCCCTCAATAGACTTAGAACCCTTATTAATTAAACAATTTTAAAAGACTATTATTGTAACAAGTCCTTTTCTGCTCTTTGGTGGTCTCAAGTCACAGAATCATGGAATAGTTGAGGCTCAAAGGGACCACTATTGCTTGGACTGGGGATGGCAGTCATCCATCCCCATTCCAAATAGAAGTTGAGTCATCCAGCTCAAGCAGGGTCACCTAGATCTTGTCTCTAGTTAAGGTTGTAAACCCCTTAGGACAGACAGAGCTCAGGTTATCCTGTCAGCACCAGATGCACCACATTGCTCAAGTACTCAGATACCACAGTGTTCTTTTTAATAGGTGAAATACTGTGAATTACCTATGTCACATTATAATTATATCTCTGCTTCTGGATCCCCTGGTTTCATCTCACCAGTGACCTCTTCCAAGTCTCCTCATCTTTTCTACACTCAAATGTCTTCCTCCTCCCCTAAACTGCAGTGAGATATTTTCTAATCTTCCTAATCCCTCTGACAGAACAAACTCAAAATTAGAAGACTTGAATAGGGAGCACCTGAAGCATTTGATATCACCTAAGCACCTGAACACCTTGGCTCCTCCTGGGGATGAGCCACCTGATCAGAGGCTATATGAATCAAGCTCTGTCCCTGTAATTTATACATTGATGACACAGGGCATCAGTGAAATGCACAGCAGGATATACAGAGGTCATCTACAGCTAAGCTTCTTTCAGGACCTGTTTTCCCAACAATGTAAATATAGGACAATTACAAGTTACTTACTGTTTCAAAGAAGATCTCCATCATGCGAGCTCTCTTCTCCTCAAAGCTCAAACCTTTTTTCTTGGACTAGAACAGAGTAAAAGAAACCAGCAAACCAACACATTCAGCAACCTGAATAATTAACATCTGTTCAGAATTCTAATCTGTTTACATCTAAGTTATATTTGCTGTCCTTTAAAATACTATACCACTAACCCCAGGCTTTCGGATAAAGTACTACTTCCCAAAGAATCATCACATCAAGCTAACACCTGCAGTCTAACAAACTGAGGGACCTACACCGTAAGTTCAGAGCTGACCTTTCACAAAACCCAATCCAGCTCAAGCCCTCATGTTTCTTGGCGTACCAAGGCCAGGCTGGATGGGATTTTGAGCAACGTGGTCTACTGGAAGGTGCCCCTACCTGTGGGTTAGAACTAGATGGTCTTTGAGGTCCCTTCCAATGTTAGTAGATTTAAAATGTATATTTATATCAATGGTCAGCAACTCACCCAAATGTTTAATAGTCCTTAGAAAAAGAAGAAGGAATATCTTTTGGGTTTGGGTTTTTTGTTTCAGGATTATTTTTTTGTTAGAACTGTTATTTAGCTTGTGATACAGAGGCGCTAGTGTGAAATGTAGTCCATTTAGGTTTTTATTAAGGAGATAAAGTACATTTAAAGGTACTACATCTTTCTTCAAACTTCCTACCCAACCTTCTGATTTCAAAGTCATACTCTAAAAACTGTGCTTCTTTCTCTGCAGTTGTGACTGAGCAGTAAATAACATGGATTGAAATAGAAGCAAAAGGGAAAAATGACTACTCATAAACTGCTACCTGTAATACAAAACTGAGAGATGCTATTTTGACATGCTCCTGTAAAATCAGAGAACTGGAGTTTTATTAACAGCATCTAGCACACTCAATAACCCAAAAGCAGTGGCTGTAACATTAAACAGGACTGTTTCCCCTTGCCCCACTCCTTGCTTCATGGTCTATGTGACCCTGCACTGCTGCATGTGACTACAGGAGACTGAAAGGGGGATGGAAAGAGCAAAACAGGATGTTGGCAAAAGGTGGTCTCCCTCAAAAAAGAAAAACAAAACAACATAAATATTGATGCTAATGGCTAATGCCATTTTTTACTTCTTCACTACTGCTTCCTTCTTAAACAAATCACACAGTAGGGCAACACAATGTTTAAAACACCTTTAGGGAGTAAAACAGCCAGACTGACTTAGATTTTTAACAATAAATTGAGAAACCAGCTTATGCAGCTACAGTAACACGCAGGCAGGCACAGAAGCAAATCAGTACGACATTTAACAAAATCACTATTAATACTTTCCAAAGTCTCCTCCCTCCTGCTTTAGGCAGTGATGCCCTACATCAGCACTGACATCACAGCTGTCTCTGATGACATCAGTACATCACAGGATTGGTATCCGGAGCCTCAACATACACACAAGTAGGGGCACGAACAGAGAACAGACTGATCACCTTCTTTCTCCCTGCCTTCCCAAACAGCCCGAATGACATCTGCAGCCAAAGGAGCTAAACCCACAAAGCCTGACATCCCTCAGGCGCCATCCTTCACACCAGCACTCCGACAGAGAAAAGTGACAACGTGTTTTCCAGGTAAGCTTTATTAACCTTCACGTTGGTTTCGCTCTCCTACCTCTCAGCTAGGTGCTCACACCTATACAACACAGCAGGCAGATAGCTGCTCGCCACACCGGCCACCCCTTCAGCCCTCCTCACCTCCGCACCACCCGCGGCCACACCGCAATACCAGGGCGCCCGCCCGAGCTGCAGCGGCGGGGCCTGCTCTTCCGGGTTCCTTAGATTTACATTGCCCTTCAGAACCCAAACACGGCCCACGCTGCACCCCCCGCACCGGCGCCGCGGGACCCCCAAGAGCGGGGGGAGCGCGATAGGGGACACGGCCCAGCTGCCTCAGCGGCCGCAGCTGCAAAGAAAAGACGAGGAATGGGTTACCAGAGGCAATGGCCGGCTTGCACCGCCAGCTCAACAGCCTCCTTAACCGGGCACGGCGCCGCAGCTCATGCCGCGAAGGAGAGCGGAGGGAAGGAGGAAAAGCAGCAGCCTCCCCGCAGCCGCCGCTTACCATTGTCGCCTCTGGCGCAGTTTGATTTCGGCGCCACCGGGAGGGAAAAGGCCAGCGGGCACCGCCCCCAGCACCGCCCCCAGAGGCGCGGCAACCCCCCGGCCACTGCGCGGAGCTGCGGTGCGCGGTAGTCCGGCTGAGGAGGTGGGGGGGGAGCCGGGCGAGGGGCGGGATTGAGGCGGTGCTGGGGCGGAGGCGGGCGGGCTGTGCCACGGGCGGTCAAGTGTGGTTTGGGTTGGAAGGGACCTTAAAGCTCGTCCAGTTCCAACCCCTGCCATGGCCAGGGACACCTTTCTTTAGAGCAGGTTGCGCCAAGCCCCGTCCAGCCTGGACTTGAACATTGCCAAGAATGGGGCAGCCACAGCTTCTCTGGGCAATAAAGGAGAGGAAAAAAGACTCATAAAGTTGAATTCTGGTTTTTATATGTTGTGCAATCAACCATGGTATATACTTTGCTAATCATATACTATAATATAAAATCAAGATAATAGATGGAAATACTGTGTATGGGGGACTCTTAACTGTGCTTTTCTGTTAGAAGACTGTTCTCATTCACTGTGATATTCTTTAGCAGTTTGGGCTGAAATTTTCTGTGCTAGGTGTCTCACTGAGACTTTTAAGTACTGGCCGAAACAGTTTTTTTCTGTTCCAGAGGTAGAGAAAATACATTGCTTTGTCAGTGTTAAAATATGCTTAGATGGAACGAAATTTGTGCTCTCCTTCATTTTGCTCTTACAAACTTGTAATTGAATCAGATACATAAATTCTGTTTTGGGAGGACACTAAAGCGACAATGGCAGGCAGGAAGGTTGGGAAGTAGGAGAATTAAAATTGTCCTGCTTTAAGGTTGTTCCTTTCATATATATGCACCCTAGTGTAGTCTTTAATTACATTAGCTAGTTTTTCAGCAGAAGGGAAGAATTCAATTTGAACAGCAGATCAGTTTATTTCCAGAAGAGTAATAGCAAACATTTTGCATCTTGCAGCTACTTCCCACATCATCTATATGACTGACAGCGAAAAGATGTTTCAACAGAGCTTGAGGATGGAGGACAGGGAGAGCTCTAGGAGATGCTCACCCATGGGAGGTGGTATCACCTTCTCTTAGGTCCAGGCAGTCTACAGTGGGATGAGTCTGGGTATCAGGAAGCAGTATGATCCAGGAGTATTCCACAGAGGTCAGTCTCTGCAGCATCTGCTGCTTCATTTCATTTTCATCCTATCTTCCTGCATTATGGGGCTATTTTGGGGGACAGTGAGTATGAGACATGAAAAATAAATCCTCAACCATGAAAATAACAGAGGAAACAAGCTTTATTTTTATTGTTTGAAAGTTTTGTGCGTGGTAAAGGTACATATTTGACTCTGGTTTTCCTACATTTCCAAGACGGAGTAATTCTTTTTAATCGTCAGCTAAAGCATCAGGAATACTGTGGCACACAAGAAGCTAAAGCTAAACACACATACACACACACACACACACATACACACGCACACACACACACAAACACGTTGATGTGCATCTTTCATCCTTGACCTTAACGAGACAAAGTTTGTATTTAGCCTCACAGGAATTAAAAAAAAAACAACCAAACAACAAAACAAAAACAACAGAAAGAACAAGTGAGAAGAATATTTCATTGTGAGTGTCAAGAGGGTGCAAGGCTTACGTGTACACAAAACGTACGAGATTGACTTACAAAGATGGAATGTACCAAACCTTTAAGGAAAATAAAATAAACAGACAGACTCACTCCCAGAAGTGGAAAACTGCAGCGTTATCAACTGCTAGAGGTTTCTAACAGGGGCTACAGCCCCACGCTGTGCAGCTTAGGGAACATTCCCACATCATAAAGCCAAAGCAAAAGTGTCAGGGTTAAGGCTGTGTTGCTCACAAACATCAACTGGAAGTGCTGTACATTCATCAGAAATAACACAACCCGTTAGGAATCTTCTACTCCAAAGCACAGATACCTTCTGCGCACTCTCCACAAACAGGCATAAACAATTGCTGCTCACAATTCTTGAAGAAAATTTCCAGTGTACACCATGATTTCATAACTAGCTGTCACCCACAACTGAAAGTAATTGTTTTATAGCAAATACAACATATTGGGCACTTAGAGTTCTCATTATGGCAACACTAGATCCTTAGTTGTCAAAAACATTGACATAAAATCGAAAGCCCTCTCACTTTTACAGAACAGAAGAGCATTTTCTAATAAATCACTCTCCCCTTACATTAGGCAAATGCTTGCCTAAACCATTTTCCTTTCCTTCATCAGCTACATTGCTGCTGGTTTAGCATATGTAAAAATCCCCTACTGTTTATAGTGGATTTATCTGAACAGATCCTTTTATTCTATTCACAAAACAATGAAGGTACAGTTGGCTAGTTTGTCCTAAAATGCTCCAAATTACACAAGATCTGATAACCTTCTGAGATTATTTCTGGGTCAAAGATCAGTTAAATGAAGCAAATACTTTCACCATTCATGCTGTGCTGCTAGTCAATTAGCATTCCAGGGAAGTCAAGGGAACATTTGGTTATACCTGAAATCTGGCAGCAAAATGCCTATAAACCTTTAATAAATGGTAGCAACTCAGCAAAATAAGTAGTGCAATTTTGCTGTTCACTTAATTGGATGAGAAAAACAATCTGGCAGGTTTTTAGAACAGAATTTCTGTATTGGTTGCTCTTTGTAAGCTTTGTAAGCCAAGCATTTTAGCTAAGTTAGCTTCAGAAGCACACTGTAAAAGCAATGTGTTTCTCTGTTTCCCGATGCCAGGCAGATAAGGTCAGACTTTGGAAATGAATGCCCTATGCCACTGAATTTGAAACTGTAGTTGGCAGCATCTGCTATCAGAAGGAACTCCAAATTAGTGACATTTTTCAGGTGCAGTAAGTGCTGCTCTGGTGATACTGTCTGAAAACCCAAAAGACTATTCAGTCTTAAGAAAAAACTTACATCATACCTA